ATTCATTTCAGAGAGGAAAGGAGAGGGAGAGAGAAATAGAAACATCAACAATGAGAGAGAATCATTGATTAGTTGTCTCCTGCATACCTCTACTGGGGATCTAGCCCAAAACCCAGGCATGTGCCCTGACTAGGAATTGAACAGTGACCTCCTGGTTCACAGGTAGATGCTCAACCACTGAGCCATGCCTGGTCAGGCAACAGATTATTTTAATAATAATTTCTCCTTGTGCCCTAACCGGTTTGGCTCAGTGGATAGAGCGCCGGCCTGTGGACTGAGGGTCCCAGTTATTTCCAGATTCCTTATACCAACAGCTAAACTCTAAAACATAGACTTTTTTTCAATCTTCTGTCCACCTCAGCTCTAACAAAGCTTTAAGCACACATTCCCATTGTGAAGGTTTCTGCTATACAGCTATGCAGCTTTCAGTTGTAATCCTCATTTCACCAGAAATAAAAGTATTAGCAATTAGATATCTCTCCTTTATACACATACAATAAAAAATTGTGCTATAAAAAAATGAGATTTGCCCAGCCATCATGGCTCATGGTTGAGCATCATCCCACGGTTCAATTCCTGGTCAGGGCACATGCTCGGGTTGTGGGCTCAATCCCAGTGGGGGGCGGGGGGGGGGCGTTCAGGAGGCAGCCCATTAATGATTCTCTCTCCCTCTCCCTTTCTCTCTGAAGTCAATAAAAATAAATGTATTTTTTTAAATAAATATAACTGTTATTCCCTTTTTCTCATTCACAACATAGAATGAATAATGCTGAGAAATTGAAACTTGTGTCCAGGATGAAAGTCTGGCAAAAATGACAGTACACAGAAATGGGAGCCTAAACAGTTCATTCTCAGACAAAAGGCTTAAAAAATAAACTAATAAAATTCAGTTATTGAGTAGTTTTGTTTTTCTTGTTTGCTTATGTTTTTTTAAACAAAAAGTAAAAAGCAACTCAAGGAATTTAACTTGCAATTAGATTTTTTAAAACATTTGAATTAATTTTTGAAAACTTTAAAAATTTTACTTAGATATAATCAAGTACATAAATCTTAGATGCATATTGTCCAATGTTCACATAGATGAACATCCTTGTACTACTACCCACATGAACATAGACTTAAAGCTAGATTTCAAAGTTTTATTGGAAAAAGGAAAAACAAGCAAACACCCAAGAGATTAAATACTATTGCTTCTCTAAGCCAAACGGTTTTTATTTTACTTAGTTAAATTTTATTTTCATACCTGAAATTCATCTTGAGTACTTTGAACATTGCACCATCTGGCAATAGGTTCAGGAACCACTTCACAATCCTGGCAGACTTGTTTAAGGATATTCACAAATGTTGACTTCCCTGCAGCTATTGTGAAGAGGAAAAGTAAAACTGAGGAAAATAACTTATCAAAGGGAAAAAAGGCAAAATAGTCTTCAGCTTTTCCAAAGGTATAATCATGCACAGCATAACAACATTTCACTCAATGTTGAACTACATGTATTTTGGTGGTTCCCTCAAGACTACAATGACGCTGAAAAATACCTATCACCTAGAGACACATAGATGTCTAACGTTTTAGCACAAGGCATTATTCACATACTAATGGCCCAGTGCACGAATCTGTGCACAGTGAAAGGAAATTAATTAGAAGAAATATTTTAATATCGCCATTCACCCTTTCTCTATAATAGAAATGTCAACCAAATTCACAATTCACAGTGACAGATTGAAACACATGCCTGCGATTGGCGCCAGCAAGAGCTTTATATGTATCGCACATGCGCAAGTCAACTTAGCCTTTTATATGTATAGAATAAACTTGCTTGATTAGACCTGCTTTCTGATGTAGCCCAGTGAAGCACCCCAACTTCTCTTTCAGGTAATTACCAGCAAAACAGCAGTAAATATCAACACAAAGCAGATTATTATTGTAGATCACACTGGGAGAACAAACGGTAAAATATTTAACTGCAGCAGTGTTTGACTATATTCTGTGCAGTGAGAAAACTTGAAGTCATTCTCAAGGTTCACCATTTCTTCTTTTCAGGCAGGTCAAGTTTCTAAGCTTTCGAAATCTCCGTTTTCCGGCTAATGAAAAGAAAATAGGGTTCCACTGAGTCCCCCATCTACCTGCTCCAGGACTTCTGTGAGGATCAAATGAGATGAGGCACAGGGAAACGCTTCAGACATTTGGTTACAGTGTAAAATGTTTGCACCTGGCTTTGAAGCAAGTCATGTTCCTGGGCTGAAGAAACTGCAAGGAGGCTAGCTGCTAGGAAGAGGAAGATGGGCATTGCTACATTACGTCATTATGCAGACGTACACTTAGTATATTAGCCTTTTATTTATATTTATTTATATATATATATATATATATATTTGTGGTCATGCTGGTGTAAACAAATCTACTGCACTGCCACTCATAAAAATATAGCATATACAATTATGTAAAGTACATAATACTTGATAATGATAACAAATAATTATGTTACTGGTTTATATATTTACTATATATAACTTTTAGTTATTTTAGCATTTACTCTTCTGGTTTATTTAAAAAAAAAAAAAAAAACAGTCCACTGGAGTGGCTCAGTTGGTTGAGTGTCATCCTATGTACTGAAGGGTTACCAGTTCAACTCCTGGTCAGGGCACGTATAGAGAGCAGCTGATCGATGTCTGTCTGTCTCTCTCTCTCTCTCTCTCTCTCTCTCTCTCTCTCTCTTGCTCTCTTCCTATTCTAAACATGTCCTTAGGTGAGGATTGATTGATTAAATACATAAATAAATACATACATAAATACATAAATAAATGTATAAATACAAACTTCACTGTAAAACAATATGCTATGTGACACTGGCAACAGCCTCATGCATCTCATGGTTAAGTCTTTTGATTGCACCATTTTCTCTTGTGCTTGATTTAATCTCATGTTGTTTTGTACAGTAACATGCTGTACAGGCTTGTAGGCTAGGAGCACTAGGCTATACCATATAGCCAGTTGTGTAGTAAGCTATACTATCTGTGTTTGTGTAAGTGCACTATATGATATTCTCACCAAGACAAACTCAACTAAGAACACATTTCTCATAATGTATCCCCAATCGTGAAGCAGCACATGACTATAACAGTAAATACATTAAAAAACATTTAATTTCCTAAACTTACTTTTCAGATTTTTTAAAAATTATTGAATTTATTGGGCTAGATTGGTTAATAAAATTATATAGGTTTCAGGTATACAATTCTGTAATATATCACCTGTATATTGTATTGTGTTCACCATTCCAAGTTAAATCTCCTACTATCACCATTTACCCCCTTTTAAGGTCCCCCCAGCTCTAGATTTTTTTTAATGAAAACTAAAAGGGTCCCTGTCCATTCTTATTAAACACATTTGTTTTTAGTTTACCAAAACCATGGAAAAGAAAATTTAAAACCTGGTGAGATTTTAGGCAAGATGTTATGGCATAAAAAATCCTAGTTCTAGATTCATTTTCCTTAACCAAGCAATGAGCGATAACTTTGTGGGAAGTAGTTAAGGTTTTTCCTCCACTTAATTAGGTATGTGATTTTGGAAAACTACCAGCCTCTCTGAGCCTGCTTCCCGTAATACAATGGAGATAATAATAATACGCTCCTCATGGAAACTGCTATGATAAGCAAGTAAACTATCACTACAGTGACAGTCTTTCTAGGCTGTCACGTTTTCAAAATTTTCCTTTTCAAACTGGCTTCATTCTCTGTTAAACAACTCAGGCCTTTCCTACCTAAAACTAATTTTAAAAAAACCAAATGAACTATAAAATCAACGTAAAGATGCATCAAATGCCTATAGTTTTAGAATGGAAAGTAGCATATTATTATAGGACAGTAGCTATCATATGGCACTACAGTATCATCTATATATACAAAAGGCACATATGCTAAGTGTCCCTTTAGGTAATGACGTCATGTAGGCTCACTGGGCTTCCTCTCCCTAGCAACTAGCCTCCTTGCAGTTTCTTCAGCCCAGGAACATGACCTGCTTCAAAGCCAGATGCAGACATTTTACTCTGTAACCAAATGTCTGTAAGGCACTTTCCCGTACCTCACCTCATTTGATCCTCACAGAAGTCCTGGAGTAGGTAGATAGGACACTCAGTGGAACCCTATTTTCTTTTCATTAGCCAGAAAACAGAGATTTCGAAAACTTAGAAACTTGACCTGCCTGAAAGAAGTAAGAAATGGTGAACCTTGAGAATGAC